AGAAACCTTCTTATTTTGGAGTCTGCATGGCACCTGCTCACAGCCAGCCAGCCCCCAGGCACGCGGGAATCAGGAGCGGACTACAGGTGTGGATGAAATGAATACGAGATCGGGGATCGGGGCATCATCTCTCGGGTGCACAGACATTGAAGGCGGACGTGTCGGATTAACTAAGAGCTGCCAGGCCGCCCGTGCCACTCCGTGACTCATTTTATGACCGCGTATTTGCAGCTTTCGACCCCCTGTGCCCATTTTGCCCACCCCCACCCCACACTCCAGCAACCACCAGTTGGGGGGAGAAAATTCTGTAACTGAGCAAAGGGCTGGACGCCGATTCGACTTACAAACACCGGATCATCCAGCTGGGCACCTGAAACTAAGATAACGTAGGTCAGTTTTGCCCCAACGTTTTGAGAAAAGCAGACACGTGCTATCTGGTCCGGCACAAATTCTGCAGCTCACCGTTGGGACAGGAGCACAGGGGCCAGAGGTGTGTGTGCATCACGACTGCTCCTCAACATCTACCTACCCGCCCACCTGTGGACTCACAGACTGACCAGAACCTTCTCTTTCAAAGGAGCTGCCTCCGTCAGCTCCACGTTTTCCTAGTCCCGTGCATGAACCCACTTTCCCGTCCCCAAAAAAGCCAAAGGGAGGGGAGAACGGAGTCCAGTTGTGAGGCCAATAGTTTGCATTTGACCCCAAGCCCACCCTCACCCCACATCTCCCCAACCTCCCTCGGTGGTACCTTCCCCCTCGACCCCACCGCCACCCCTGTGCCACCTGCCTTCGTGTTTCCTTCCCATCTACAGCCACTCCTCCTCCCAGACACTTAGATATCAGATACTTTCACTCCTAGCAAACCCGTGATGACTGATAGGCTCAATAAGGATTGCTTTTTTCCCAAACATGTCTGCATTCCAATTGTGACTAAATCTCACAGCAAAGAAAAGAATCTCTAATGGTGGAAATGTGAGCTCCAGGAAGTAGGGTGGAAGAAATGGTGTACCTCTGTGGGGCAGGACAGGGCCTACACCTGAGGCAGGTCCGGCTGGGAATTCCTTTCCTACGCCTCAGAGTTAAGGACGAGTAACCACAGGGCAAGACTTGACAAAGCAAGGGCACGGTGCCAGACGGACACGTTTACTCAGGCGCAGACGTCTCCTGAGCTTTTGCTGTGTGCCACGCACTCTTCTCAGGAGGCAGTAAAGGACGAGGCTCAGTCCCTGCCCTCGTGAGCCCACAGTCCAGAGACCAGGGCTGCTCTTCCGGGCAAAGCAGGAAGCCTGAGCACCGGTTTCCAGTGGACACACCCCCTTGGTCTCCAAGGTCCAGACGCTTCGCTTTCCAGAAGCCCCTAAGGTCACGCACAGGCCCAAGCACTGACTCCCCCGGGAGGGCCGGCAACAAGGCTTCAGCAGCCACATGGGCCAGGCAACTGTCCACATGGGGTGGGAACAGAGGGAGGGCAGAGGAGCAGTGGGTCCTGCCACACCAGTGCTCCCTGGCTGGCCACAAAGAAGTGCAGCAAAGGGCAGACGTCCGAGCGAGCGGACAGCACAGGCATGGTGGATGACAGGCTAGGAGGGCAGAAGCAGGGATAGACCCAGCATGGCTGCCACCAACCTTTCCTGAGGGGTGGCGGGGGGGGGGGGGGGCGGGGAACAAAGTGACACCCTCTGCAGAGTGTAGGCAGGGGACAGAAATGCAAATACTAGCCCAGCACCCCCTCCCCGGGTCCCCTTGGTCCAGTGGCAGGGCCCTGCCCTTTGCCAACACGGACTCCCACCCAACCTGCCACCCCTGTGCTGGGCTCGCCTTCAGTGCCGGAGAGGCTCACAGTGATGAGGATCCCCTCCCCCCATAGAGCAATGTTGGGCCTCTGGCTCCTCAGTCTCCCGGAGCCCGTGCCAGAGAGAGAAGACAAGACCCAGCAACCCAGCACAGCTCACCGGGCCCGTCCAGGGGCTGCTGGGACACGATCAGGCAGCTGGCCCCAATCCTGCACCCTCCTCTGGAAGGGGTTTGGGGGGCCTGGCGGTGAAGAAATACCCCACTGTTCCTCGCCGATTGCCGGAGCGCAGAGTGCTGGCCCAAGTGGGGGGCTGGGGCAGCCAGGCCTCCTGCAGGCGATCACATCCGATCCCGCCCTGACGTGGCAGGAGAACCGGGCAGCCCGGCCCCCCAACCCCAGGGCCCCCGAAACTCTGACAGGGGCAGGCTGCAACCTCTGACTTTCTATTAACTGAGACTTAATCTGAGTTACGTAACTGCCGGTCCCCACTCGGGCGGCCTCATGACTCACCGACTCCTTTGAATTCCTGGAAGGGGGTCTTAGAGAAGGAGAGTCAGTGGGCCCCATGGCTGGTCTGCTCCAGCTCCGGCAAGGCCCAGCTCCTGCCTCCCCCTCGTGTCTGACCGGCATCGGGCAGGAGAAACCCTCTTGAGCCAGACTTCAAACATGAAAATCTAGATCAAGGATATATTTGGCTTCCCAAGCTAATCTGTACATCAATTTGGTCTCTACTGACTTGTAGCCCTTTGAAGAAAACTTGGCAACTACTCATATGGAAAGCAGAGGACTCTTATGTAACCCCAGACAGGAGCCCCTGGGCTCTGGAAGGCTCAGGAGTCATGGGTGGGTCGGGGTTTGCTGGTTATTCACTTCATCAAGACCCAGGGTGCAGCTTTTATCCACAGGGCTGCGTAGGGTAGTCTGGGCACAAAAAGCCCAGGGAAGTGAAGGGAAACGTCTTGTGCCAGACATCTTGGTGGTGCCCAGGCCAGCGGGCTGGGGGACGGCAAGGCCAGGCTGGGCTGCCGCAGATCCCACGGACAGCTGAGCCACCCCAGCCAAGAGGACGCAGGACGCAGCGGGGAAGCAGGCTAGTCCCTCTCCGGAGACACGGAGACAGGCGTCTCGGGGAGGCGTGGAGCTGTCTCCGCTGGCTTGCCCTGCTCCCTACTTATCGCCCTCTTGGATGCACGGAAGAAAAGGAAGCAGGTGATTACAATAAATCAACAGAAAGGACAGGCTGGGAAGAGCCCGCCAGCCCCTCCTCCGCTTGGCCGGTGGATCCCCTGGGTGGGCGTGGCATGAGGGGAGGGGGACGCGCCCCCGCGGTGGAAAGATTCGAGCTGCCTCCCAGAATGGCCATTTATTCCAGCATCCTTGTCCCTGATGAGCATCCCAGCCGCGAACGCGCGATGGATTCCGGCTGCGACCAATTTGGTGTCAGCAGCTGGAAATGGGCACGAGCCAGGCTTCACCGGGAGGGCGACGCCTGTGGACAGAGCCTCTGGCTCCGTCCGTCCTCCTAACGCTTCTGGCCAGTCCCCAGCTGCCTTTCGAGGTGGGGACGGTGAGGGGCAAACCGCTGGGTCCACGTGCTGGGCCCGAACGTGATGTCGTGTGCGTGGCCAGCACTCGGGGGGGGCCGAAAAGCACCCCGTGAAAACCGACCGTCACAGCGCTTTGTCCCACGCCCACCCCCACGCAGACACACAGGCACCCGGGGCCGTGCGGTGGAAGGACAGACAGAGCGGCCCCCCGGGAGCACAGCCTGGGAAGGACACCTGGCCGATGTCCTGTACGCTCCCAGCCCCTGAGGAAAGCTGCAGCACGGTGGCCTGCAGCCTCCGAGGCCACTTGCAAGGAGGCAGCCGAACTCTGCTGCCTGCTTACTCAGCACCCCTCCGAGCTGGGCTCCGCGCTCCTTACTGTCGGAGCTCCGACCCAGCGGGTCAAGCTGCGGGCTGCCTTCGACAGACACCTTGATCCGTGCTTGCAGCTCTGAGACCACCACCACCACGCAGGCACAGCCACGGCTCCATCCGACTCCGTCCGTTTCCGCCTCGTGAGAGGAAAAGGCTGTTGGCACAGCTCTGGCCGAACACAGAAGCCAGACACCGAGCCCGGACTTCGTCTCGGGAGCCCGAGCAGAGAGCTTCTCGCTCAGGTGACGCCCGGAGCTGCTTTCCACCACCTGGGCTCCGGGTTCGGCGTCTGCCTGACACAACCAGGTTCCAAGCCTGGCAGCAGGGGTGCCCTGAGCTCCCCTGGGGAGCCACAGAGTGGCGTGTAAGCAGAGACGATGACCGGCTTTCTTCAAGGAAAAAGTGCATTTCCAGCTTTCAAGCAAGCGATCCGGGCTTTGTTACCGCGACCCTCGCCTGGTGCGACGCTAAAAGCACACAGACCCTCCCGGCCCGGCACCTCTCCTGGCCAGGGGGTGGCTCTCACAGACATGACAGAGCCCTCTCCGGTCAGCCTCCAAGACAGGTGACAGGCTGTCCTTAGAGGCACCCTTACAGAAAATCTCTTGTGCTAACACTGAAGGAAAAACAAAAAACAACAACAAAAGGTCAAACTTCAAAATCACCAACAGAACTATTTCCTACAGCAAAATCCCAAGGAGATCTCGCTTGGGGATGCTTTAGAGGAACTGTTTTAGTGAATTCTGAACCAACACAGAGGCTTCTTTCCATGGTATTTACTCTTCTCTCCCCTTATCAAAATGTACTAATCTTCCAATCTAGCAACTTAGTGGTAATAATAATAACAAAGAAAGAAACCACAGCAGCTCAAATAACTTGCCAGCAGTCGGTCACAAATGAAGCATCTGGGAGCAGGAGGTGAGCCCAGAGCCGGGGCCGGGACCCTCTGCTCTTTCCCGAGGCCTTCCGGGGCTGGCTGAGACCTAAGAGGCAGATGGCAGGGCACCTGGAGGGGGTCACCCGGCAACGCTGCCCTCGATCCATTTTGTCTGCGTCCCAGAACAGGGAGCCTAAACCTTATCTAGTCCAAGCACAAGGTATCGATTCAGGCCAGGCCAATACCCAACAGGATTCGCTTCACCGTTAACCTTTTAAAGCCCACACTGGCCAACCAGCCACCGGAAAAAGGAGTGCCGCTTTCCAGAAAAATCCTCTATCGAAAAAAAAAAAAAGCGGATAATAACCTTTGACAATTTTCTCTAGATGTTCTAAACAGTGCTTACCCCCGGGGTGCGGGTTTGTCTCATAAATCAAAGGTAGCTAGACAAGGCTCGGCGCGCTCGACAGAGGACACTCTTCCGATTTCTCAAAATCAGGTCGCGCACTTGGGTCTCGCTTCGGCTCACTCCCCCCAGCTTCGATGGGGCGGCGGTGGGGGCGGCTCCGGCAGTAGTCCCAGCACCTACCGGCCCTTTCCTCCCCAGCGCGGGAGCGCAGTGCATCCCAGTGGACAAACTCCAGAACCGCACGCTCTTTCTCCGCCTCCGCCTACGTCCTGCCTGCTTTCGGTTGCAACCCGGGACCCAAACGCACCGGCTGGGCGAAGCCCCCTGGCAGGCGGGCGGACGGTTCGGGGGCGGCCTGCGGGACCAACGAGACAACCGGGCACTCCTGGGCCCTAGGCCGCCCGAGGCGCGGACCGAATGGCTGAGCGCCACGACAAGCGGGCAAAGTTTGCCCAAAAGGGTCTTCCTGAGTACCCCTGCAGCGAGTTCCCGGCTCGACCCCCTGGTGCCACCTGGCCCTGGAGTCCCGACCTAGACAAGCCCCCGGGCGCTCCCGAGGGTGTCTGCGTGGGGGGTTGGGGGGGGGCCGCCCGCGCACCTCCCCCAGAGCCCCAGAGTCTCCCGCCCCAGCTGCCCGCCAGCTGTGCGCGCCCGTCCGGCCCGGAGGTCACCGGCAAACAGCTGGATCGGCCGCTGGGAGCTCGGGAGGCCCCTGCTCAGCCCTGGGGCCCCGAGGAAGGGTAAAGGAGGGCGGAGTGGCTGTTTGATTTTGGTTTCCTCCAACTCCGCCTGCCCAGCTCTCACCGGGAGCCGGGAGCCGGGAGAGCTCTGGCTTTCTCCGGCAACCCCGGCACCCGCCCAGGGTCCACGGCCGGCAGGGGCCCCGGGGA